TTGACTGCCACTGCACACTGAGCGGATGTTTCAGAGAACTATCCATAATGACTCCAAGATCTCTTTCTGAACTTAATACAGCTTAAACACCTTTGACTAATTTGAAATGAAATTAATGAGAAACTAAAAGTTAAAATTCAGACTGAATCAAGAAAGCAGTTCAGTTCTGAGGCCTCAGAATCCAACTAAGTACTTAATTACTCTAAAAAAAGCATGAAAGATGTAAAAATTGACATACAAAAGTAAAACCAAAACATTCAACATTTGGTTTAACATCATGTAATTGTAAAATAACTTTCACAGATATTGTCTCAAATGTTTCAAACAAGCTGACTTTGAAAACACAGCCAGATAATTTGTCAGGAATTTGAAAACCCAAACTTAACCTTTTTTTCCCCATAGATGTCAAATCTCAAATATCTAAATATTCATAAATGAACTCTGTCGAGTATTATTAGAACAGAGTAATTCAAATATTATGTTCTCATGATCAGCATGTGGAAGTTCTGAGTGGAAGAAAGTTATCCGATCTCACATTCTAAGTGTATGGAAATTAACTCTTTAGGCATGACAAACAAGTATAATGCAATTTTAGTACTTTTATATAACTTTAAATGTTTGAGGGAAAGATATGGTAAAGTATTACAAAGCCTCTGAGAAACTCAAAAAAGAGAATCAAAGCTTTCGGGGAAACTGAGCTCTAAATCCTGAGCAATGTATTTCAACAGACTTTTTTAGGTATAAAAGACAATAACTGGCTCCCGAATATGCCTTTGCACATGCTACAAAAGCCCAGGAGACATGGATATTCTCCACCTATTCTGGCTCTCCTCAATAAAGAAGTCATTCCACAAACCTCCCATGACTACAGTAACAGAGGGCATTCCAGGGATCAGGGAACTGTGGTCCACAGTTTCAGTGCACAGAGCCTCTGTCCCAGCACTGGGTCCATCCCCTTTATTTCCCATTTCCTGACAGAATAATCCGTATCAGGAAATAGAAGGCCCAATTTTAATTATTGAGTCTTTAGCAGCAGCTTCGTAAGACACATTCGGGGCATCTTGAGCAAATTTTTCAACATAAGTTATAATTTAAATTTGATGAAATGCAAGTTTAAACCATGAATAAAATCAATCATGAATAAGGCCCTAAATTGTACAAGCCTGAAACTGCAAGGAAAGCTGAATTCTGTTCTCTGTAATTAGACATACTTAAGAAAAGTCACCGAAAAATTAGAGTGTCAGATATATTTTTTTTCCAATTTTCCATTATGAGTGCTCATCTCTTCATTTCAGGAAATGTTCATTACTAGTCTATAGCCACAAAAAGAAAGACACTGTAAACAATAGTGTCCCTTATGGATATCAACTCAGCCACAGATCTTGTTTTTGTTTGCACATCCTGAACATCAGTCACAGCTGTTTTTTGTTTTGTTAACTAATCCTTAGCAATGCCAGCTCTGCTAGGACAGCAAATGTTCACTATTTATTTTGAGGGGAATTGTGATGCAGGCTATAAGGAGTTTACATTTCCCAGTAGGAAATGTAAGGTGGAAAAAGTTCTGGAGCAGGTGAAATTATTTAAACAAATCCTTCAAAACCAATGCAAATCAAAACACTCTTGTTTATTCCTTTTGTACAACAAAATGACATTAACAGCACAAAGCAAAACATGTCTTACTATGCATTTAAACTTGTTTAATTGTTCATGGACTTGCATTATAAATATCTCTAGAGTCCATTTTCCTTTTTATACAGGACAAGGTAAAATTTGAATCTGGTTATACGATATTATACGAGATTGACTGAGAGCCAAATGTCAGGGGACAAACATTGCTCAATGTTACACAAACACTCTGTCAACCACTCAAAATATTAGGGGCTCTGGGACTGATCTCAAACTTTTGCATTAGAAGAAATCATGGTACCAAGAATGATGTTCTTTATGTGGCTCTTTCTAGAGAGCGCCACAGAATTTTTTTTAGTGTAGAATTTATGCAAAAGTAAAATCTGTCTCAATAAATATTCATAATGTTTAAAGCACTAATAATGCTTCTAATATGTTTAATATGGAAGTTTATTAAATCAACTTTCTACTGCTTTTTTGTATCTGCATGATATGTTTATACATTTCTTTTGTTAAATCAATCCATTCATAAAACAGCAAAAAAGAATAATAAAGTGTGTTTGAATAAAACTCCATTACAAATTATAAGAAATTCAGATAATTTTAATATAATAAATGGTAATAATATGCACTCATGAGATATCACTAACAAAACTCTCCATAATGGAAAACTATGAAGAACAACTTCAGATATTACATTCTATTACATGAACATTTCAGCTCAGCTTCTGTTATACCCATTTTTAATATTTCATCAGCAATCAAGGCTTATCTCATATTTCTTTAGAGACTGCTGGATCCTGACCATCTGGTGACAAGTTCATGAGGGGGTCTCTGACCTGATGTGAAATGTTCTACCAGCCACCTGGGTCCTGCAAGCAGTGTGCCTATAGCTCTAGATCACCTTAATGTGGTCATGCCAACAGATCCTTTCTTTCCCCCCGCTCCTGCTCCATAGCACTGCCACAGCAGCATTCAGCAGTGTTCCCCTTCCTACTCCTCAACTTGACAGGTAGAATGGGCCCATGTAAAAAGTGACAGCAGAGATGGTACCCTGCACTTGTTGAGAGAAAAAGCAAGGGGCAGTGTCAGTAACAGCACCTGGATTATTATAGAGTCATGTCCCCACTTTTGGCATGTGAATCTATGAACACAACATCCTACACTGGGCAGAAAGTCCGGCTGCCTGCATTAGCTATGGTTTGCAGCTAGGCTTTACAATGGAGCAGGCGTGTCTGCAATTCTACAGAATCAGAGGAATTCTGAGAGACCAGCTATTGGCAGCACTGTATGGAAACTTTGTAGTGTCATCGGCAAATCTTGAACCTCTGGGAGAACAAAATAGCAGCTGAAACCAGGTTGGTTTTTTAATGTTTATCAAGACATTTTACCTGGCTTCTTTACTAAAACATGCACCTCAGACAGGTTTGGCAACAGAAAAAGGCTAGATAAACCCATAAAAAGGGCATACCATTTGAGAAAGTGGTGACCAAACATAAAAGGATTACTTGTACTTGTCCAAACATGTTTTCGAAGGATAGTATCCAGCTGTTCAAAGAATGGACTGTTTCTGTCAATATTCTCCCTATAGCTAGATGAGAGTTTGATTATCCAAGAGGTTTGAGCAGATGGGGATACGCGTAGCCTCCCTCAGGTAAATGAAGCATGGTCAAAGATGCAGATTTAAGGTGACTTTGGAATGTTTGGGTAGAGGCAGAGGTATACTGCAATGGTTAATTAATTTTTAAGGAATGTATGTGTTTGATCTTAACGTTTAACTTTTTTTTGTCTGTGAATTTCATTTTTATTGAAACTTATAACAAACATTATGTCTCTAATCCCTTTTTTTTAATAAGCTTAATAGCCTTCAAAGGTGGAGCTCATGAGTAAAGCTAAGATTTTGTCAAGGATATTTTTAGTAAAAGTCAGGGACAGGTCATGGGCAATAATGAAAAATTCAGGGAAGCCTGTGACTTGTCCCTGTCTTTTACTAAAAATATCCGTGACAAAATGGGGAGCCTGGGCAGCTGCGTGGGGAGCTCCAGGGTCCCCCTCCGCTGGTGGCTCTGAGCTGGGGGGGTCCCCTTGCTGCCAGCAGCCACCAGGCATTCTAGGGTTCCCCCCACCACTTGGGGCAGCTGGGAGCGGGAGGCTTGTAACTTCCATCAGTCATTTCAGTATTAACATCATATCCATGGAACTCAACAATTTACATCAATGCAGCACTAACAGACTATGCCACAGTTCTGGAACATCAATTAGGAGGTGTTAAGAGTCCTCCGGGAAGTTACAAGTTTCACGAGATACGCTATTAGAACTTTTAAGTTCCATAAAGTCTCAAGAAAGGTAAAAGCGCAGCTGGCACAGGCAACAAAGCTTGTAATTTTATGAGGTCTTGAAGTGGAGGTTGTAACTTACATGAGGCCTGAAACATGTGGCTCAGGGCAGTTACAAACTCAGGAAGTAGCACTGGCAGCAATTGTAACAATTGTGAACAATGTTTTACTCAAGATGACCCTCAAATAAGTTATCGGTGTCTCAAGCGATTCCAAGTATTACAAGCTGATTCCAAAATTAATAGTGTAATTAAATATCTTTTTAACATGGAAAGTAAACAAAACCAGTATTGTACACAATTTTTTAAAACTGAGAACAAGTATATATGATACATTTGAAACTGGTAAAGGATAAGTCAATTTTGATACTAAAGTGTGGATGTTAAGAATATTTTCCCCAAGAGGAAAAAAAAAGTTACTTCTCAAAATTTCCATGGCTAAAAATTATATCTTCTTCAATCAACTTACAACTTTTAAAATAAACAGTTCAAAGCATTAGAAATATCAGACTGTTTATTTAAAGAATTAAAGGGAGACACCAAAATTCAGGCTAAGAATGGAAATTGTCTTTCACCTTGAACTGTTAAGTCACTGCTATTATCTACATAATAAAATTCCAGGATTATCAACCTGTGTGTCACTCTAAAGCCTAGAATGTCTGAGTCATTCTGAAGAAATGGAAACAGCTATGTGGTTGAGAACTCATTTTGTTCAGATTATCACAAGGTTGAATCATTACTGGGCTTTGCAGTCTGTTACCGTCCAAATGTTTACATTCTCAGCCATTTTGACTTTGTGAATTACAGCTGTGCAACAGCAAGGCCTGTATCTATGCCATGCCAAGAGTCTCAGACCATTGTGATATCAGAGATAACTCAACTAGTCACCACCCTGACTATAAAGCTAACGTGAACGCAACCACTTAATTGTTTGTATGAGATGGTGGATTACTTGGCCCAACTGCCACAGCTGTCTGACAGCATGGGCTTTCAGCTACTTGCGCCGTAATAAAACTTTTAAAGTTTAACAGATTCTTACCTCAATCAGTTTTCTTTCATAGGAGTTTGCTAGTTCCTCGTTGTTTTCTACTTGCTTTTGCTCAGGTATGGTAAATTCCCCATCAATATTCCAAAGGTTTGGCAGAACTAAAACAAACAAAAAAATACAAGAGTAGTCTACAAAGGAAATAAATGTAGAAGCTCTTAAATCTCTTAAACAATCTTTTGAAAATGAACAGCTTTTTAAAAATGTTGATAATAAGTACAGTATCCTAATATGGTGCAAATTGTATGTGAGTAATATCACTAAATAAACTAACTACTGAAAAAAGTAATTTCAATGCCAAGGGTGCTCTCTTATAATGTTTAAGTAACTTCCCATAACATAACAGCAAACATAAAAAAAGAAACTGATTAGCTATTTGTGTGCATGTTTGCCTAATTCATGCATGCAGTCAATATAATTTTACATGTAAGCTATCTGAAAATTTAACTCTTAACATCTCTGCCTATTTCTTTTCTATAACACATTTAAATTTATTTTTTTTATATTATCTGTATGATTTACAGACTTACAATTCCCATTTGTTCTGTGATTCACCTACTATGATTAGATTATTTATTCTTCACTAAAGGGGAAGCTGACCTTCAATACCTTTACACAACGTATTGATGGGGACAGACCTCAAGAATATTTAGTAAGTATCAAATAAGTAATAACCATTATTAAGACATTAATAATTTTGTGTGCACATTCACAATAACTGTGTTCTAAAATTAGATACACAATTTTATTATTAAATTATTTAAAAGACTGACCCAAAAATATATAACTACTCCCTAACTTGAAGTTTGCATAGTTTCAAAGATAGTTGATTACATTTCCTTAATCGAGATATAACTATTGTAATTTTAAAAAACCAATAAACTGTTGTTCAGTGAGAAAAAGTACACCAAAACTCCATAACCTTGACTAAATTACGTTCAACAAATCTCAGAATACAATTCCATTTCCCTACAAGTCAATCAAAATTTTCTGAATAAACTATGATGGCGCCATGAAAAGAGAGTTCAATGCTGCCCAATCTTTAGATTACATATTAATTATATTGATTACTTAAGAATCCCCAGTTATCACTTTGAGGGTTGAAAGGTTCTTGCCCCAAGATCAGGCCCAGTATTATTCAAATTATTATATAGCTGGGAACCCCGAAGTGCACAATTTCAACACTCATGGCATAGGAACTCTTTTATATTTACAAATATAGTTTATTAATACATTTCGCACAGTCGCAAACACCCCAACTCAGTAAGGTAGATAGAGATACTACAGAATAAAGAAGAACAGGAGTACTTGTGGCACCTTAGAGACTAACAAATTTATGTCTCTAAGGTGCCACAAGTACTCCTGTTCTTCTTTTTGCGGATACAGACTAACACGGCTGCTACTCTGAAACCTGTCATACTACAGAATGTACATCTGCACATCCATATACTCTCACCATCTGAAATCTTAGCCATCATCTTCCTCCTCACCCTTACCTTCCCCATCATCACCAGTGGCCATCATTCTGGCACCTCCCAAGGACTACATATCTCTCTCCTACTGCCCCTAGGCTGGGATACCACTTTTATAATACATTACACTGACACCACTATGTTTGGTGCATATTCAGTAGGGGATTTTCCCCCTTTTCCTTATTTGTATTTCCTCACCTTACTAATGTTGGAGTGTTTTTTTCCTATAGGTTAGTATATCAGTGATCTCAACTTATTATCATATACATCCATTCGTTACCACAGCCCTTTCATGGTTAGGTATCCCATTTGTTATTTCTATCCTAACTGGTTATTTCGGTTCTCTCCAAGTTCCAAGTTGTGGTGTACCTGTTAAGTTTAAAAGGGTATGAACTTAGGGAAGCCCCAATGCCAACCTGCTTTAACGCATCCTATATGTTAAAGGTCGCAGCCATATATGGACCTTATGCTTTAGCTCATCACCATCCATCTAGGTGAAAAGTCCCAAACATACGTATACTAACTTTGCCTTCGCTCAACATACAGGATATGACCTGCAGGTCCCTTGTGTTACAGCCAAAATATACTCTAATATAAATCTATAAACCTATTATAATAAAACAAATAATGAAACCCATAAGAAAACAAAAAACTTATAAGAAAAGATACATAGCCAAGCAAGCAGGCTAGCCTTAGATGTATCTCATATACCTGTTATGTACGTCAGTTCGTTGCCAGGACACTTCTGTGGTTGACTCATGAACCTGTAGTCAGAACTGCCCCTTAAACTCTATTTTCAGCTCCCCAAATACTTGGGGTTTTCTATTGGGCTGTTTAGTTGTGCAAAGTTTATCCATTCAAAGTGCAGAGGTCTCAAGCCTTATGTTAACTTGCTGAAGCTAATGTCTTACAGCATACAGGCCTGTACGTTTCTTGCATTACTGCTGAATATAATGCAAAGCAGTAAATAAAATAAAGGCAAGCTATCCCACTGGGCTACATAAACAATACAGAACAACATTTGAGAGTGATCAGATAGGAGAGGAAAATAAGTCAATTACAGCAGTTCTGAATCAAGTGACCAAACATTTAATAAAAAAGCATGTGTCAATGAAACTATCATTGAATTCAGAAAAACAGTGTTTCAGAACGTTCAGAATAACTTGACAGTAAAAGTTAAGATTTAATTAACTATTTGGGGTCCATATTCTGAATCACTTGGGTATGATTAAAATACTATTATTTACGTGTTACAAGAATAGCTAATGTTCAGAATTTTTCTTACACAAGTTGCTGCAGCATTTAGGGGACAACCTGAACTGAAATTATTTTTCTATTTTTCAGAACTGCCAGCAAATGAAAAAATCAGGTATTAGCAGAGCTCTAGATTCTGAAATTGTCATTAGTGATGGTGACGAAAAAGGAAAAAAGATCATAGCTTGATATTCAGAACTCAGATTGAATTCGCATGGTTGGCAGAAGATAATTATTATATATGTAATAAAATACAGTTCTATTTTGGTAATTTGTCAAACTGTATGCTACTAATATACCTGTGGTACTTGAAAATGTGATCAGCAGCCAATAATCTGCTGTGAAATGATGCATAATTGCCACCACTACCACCACCAAAGCTGATAACATTATGATTTATATAGACATCTGTTCTCAGTTAGAGGCAATTTTTATCCTACATTTATAACTACACAACAGGAAGATATTGTTCAAATACAAAAAAAGGGTAAAGGCTGCGCAATCCTGATCTTAAATCAAAAGTCAAATTTTCAAACATATTAGGCTAAAACTGGAAATCATTATTTTTAAGGTACAGAGACTACTTTTTAAAGTGTATTTTTAAACTAATTTTTTTTAATTAGGTAATTTACGTTGAGAGTGTTTTTGAGGTTTGCTTTTATGGTCCTATTGTCTTCAGACCCATCTAATTTACCATTATTTTTCAAAATTTGCCTAAATTAGTTTGAAAGACATGCAAGAGCTGTTTTTATTCATATGTGCAGTACAGTAGAAATGTAACTTTTATGGATTAACTATTTAGACAAAACCTAACACTCTAGAGAACTGAATAGCACCTGCTTAGGCTCGGAAGGATCAGATATTTATTGATAACTGTCGGTAATCACAAATTTCACTGTATATACACAAACCAATGAACAAATATTTTAATTGATAATTGAAATTTACAGAAAGGTAAAGTAAGAATAATGCTGCTTGGGAATTTAGAGTTTGATTTAGGATATTCATTTTGTATATTTTGACATGTAACATTGGAAATCTATATTTTAATGGTTATAAAGCTTTAACATTTTGAATGTCAATGTCTACTGTCATTAAATAATGAAAGTCAAATGGAGTTTACAAGAAGTCACAAACAAAGACCCAAAACAGAAGATCTCTAGCTTCAATCTGCCACAAAGTTTATGGGCAACCCTACACCACATCCACACAAACCATGGCAGATGTGGATACTTGATGCACAAATGGAATATTAAAAGCTCTTCAGTGTGCAACTGTGGTCAACCAAAACAGACCATAGAAACTATAACAATTCAATGCCCAATTCACAAATATGAAGGAGGCATCACAGCGATAAACTCTGCTACTCCTGATGCAATTTCCTGTCTTAACCTAGATGTAAAATTATAGTTGTTGTTCTACAAGTACATCAGTCATACAAAGAAGAAGATTAAATAAGTATTGCCTGAAATCCCCATTGTCTGATTCCTATTGTCTGATTCCCACAACTGTAAAAACATATGTCAATATAAATTCCCTACCCCCAAAATACTTAAAATCCACAATTTTGCAAAGTGTGGAGATGTACATAGATAGACATAGAAAAAATGCTTTAAAATAAACATCAATGTTGTCTGTCAAAACTCTAAAAAATAAACATTGAATTCTATCAAGCCTGCATATGACTACGTTAATTTTTTTTAAGACGAGGCTTAATTCCTATTTGACAATGATAGAGTAGATATAGCAAGATATCCCGTAATTTTACATTCTGAATTGATTTTATTAAGCTTGGATTATTTTCTTTTCCTATAGTCAATTCTTTGAAAGAGTTTCAATGTATGTCTTTATGATCTGAGACATCAAACTCAGGGAAACAAAAAGGCTGAGCATAAATTACAGCAGAATACACTTTGTCAGGGTACTGTACAGCTCAAGGGATTGCCAGTGCATTACAGAGCCTTTCATTTGTAGGGCTCTTATTTAATTCCAAGTCAAACTGGCAATGATCAAAAGCAGTCTAGTGGCCCATGTGAAATGAATGAGTATGGAGAGCGAACTTCCATTTGCCCCTCAGATATGAACCTTCTAGGTCAAAACTGATGAATAGGGCCCTACCAAATTCAGGAAAAATGCGTCACGGACCGTGAAATCTGGTCTTGTGTGTGCTTTTACCCAATACTATACAGATTTCACAGGATAGACCAGTGTTTCTCAAATTGGGGGTCCTGACCCAAAAAGGAATTGAAGGGGGGGGTCACAAGATTATTTTAGGGGGGGTGCGATATTGCCACCCTTACTTCTACGCTGCCTTCAGAGCTGGGTCGCTGGATATCGGCAGCTGTTAGCCAGGCGCCCAGCTCTGACGGCAGCAT